CCTGTTCCCTTCCCGGCACTTCCCCCAGACCCTGTTCCCTTCCCGGCTCCCCACCAGACCCTGTTTTGTAACCGGACAGTATAAATATCTCAGATGAAACCCTCGGTGGTACGGCCCCTAGGATGCACGCCTGGGGTCCGTCGCCGGCCGGCTCAAATAAACGCGCTCTCAATTAAAATCAATTGGGTGTGATGCTCTGATTTCTCTCGGGCGTCCAGTTCAGAAAAGTCTTGAAAGACTTCTCTAATTTTTTTTTTTTGGTGGTGGTGGTGGTGGTGGTGGGGTGTTCACCAATTATTTATAAAACGTTTACTGTATGTGAAGAACTATATTAGGCAAACAAAGACCCCAAAAATCCCTTCAAAAACCAGCAGTAAGTTTTTAAAAAGGAGGGGCCTTTAAGGTCATTTAGCCCAACCCCTACAGAGGTTAAGTCATTTGCCCAAGATCACAATATGCTGTGAGGGCTAGAGACAACTTTTCAACATAGGTTCCCTAAATAGCTTACATTTTATGGCAAGTAGGGAGGTAGTAAGGTAGGGAAAGCTAGCTATACTAAATATACCCAAATAAATAAATACAAGGTAATGTGAGGCAGGAAAAAGCATTAACATTGAGGGATTGCAGAAAGCTTCAAGGAGTACTAGTTTCTGAGTTGAGCTTTGAAGGAAGGTAAGTAATTGGAGAGAGAGTGTATTCCAGGCATCAGGACTGATTCTGCTCATGCATGGAGGTAGGAGATCAATCACTCAGTAAACTTTTATTAAAAGCTACTATGTGCCAAGTATTGTGCTAAGCATTGGATATTGGGATGGGCTTTCGAGCTCAGCCAAAGCCTAGTAGTTAAATCTGGCAAGAAAATAGAATGAATGAAGGGGAATGACAGAAAAATGGTTGGCAAGGTAGGTTGGAGCCAGACAAGTTTGTTTCTTACCCTAGACATGATAGGGAAGAATCACTGAAGGGAATGTAATGGTCAGACCTGAGTCAAACATTGCCTTTCTCTGTATCCCTAGCACTTGCTACCTACCTACCTACATACATACATACAGTATATATGCAGTATCAGCATATAGTCAGTACTTATATAGATATACGGTATCAGCATACAGTCAGTGCTTAATAAATGCTTGTTGATACTCGTCTTAGGAAGATTGGCTGCTATGTGGAAAATGGACATTGTCATTTGGGGGGACAGGAGGACCCCAAGCTCTATATCCAAGGCTTGATCCCTCCACCCCTTAATACCAGTTTCACAATGAACACACATAGAGAATAGCAAAGAAACCCATTTATCCAAACAGATACAAAATAGAAACCAGAGAAGGTCTACATAGGAGAATATATACCAGACGGGAGTATATATATCTATATGACAGTGTAAAAGCCCCGGAATTGGGAGCAAGGTAATTCAGCTTAACCAAGACAGGGGATCGTGGATCTCACTCCAGGGGAAACTCACCAGTCTCTAGAGTAGCAAGCAATAGAAGTAGGGAAGCCTGGAAGAACAAGCTGAAAAGATGAGTTGAGTAGTTTCATTTGGGCCATGTTCATTTATTTGGTTCATTGAGATGCCTATGTCCTGACACCCAGGTGGAGATCCAATCTCACTGCCACATAGCTGCCAGGGGCTTCCTGTTGCACTTCAAGAATAAAGTACAAATGCCTCAGAAGGACCTGAAAAGTCCAGTAAACTGATGTCCTGAAAAGGACAGTGATTCACCCAAGGTCACAAAGGTTGTAACAGAGGATCAAATGAGGAAATGTCTGTCTAGGCTGAATTCTCATCCTTCTTCTCATGAACTTTTAGTTCCCTTTAACATTCAGCTCAAACACTACCACCCACATGAGGCCTTCCCTGACCTGCCCCTCTCCTTCCAGTCCCCTCCACTCCTAAAATTAACTTATTCTTATCTTGTATATTCTTACGCAGGCGCCTGTTGTCTCTCTTGATACAAGGTAAGCTTCTTGAGATCAGGGACTGTTTCAGTTTTGTCTTTTATATTCCCAGTACCTATTTATAGGTATCCATATTATATGGATTGAATCTCTAGTTCATTTTGCTTTTTACACATATTTTGTGCATTTCTGTAGAAACATGTGTGATCATGGATTTTATTGTTGACTCATTCCTTAGATTTTGTCTCATGAATTTCTTCCAAGATCTGCAGCTAATGGACAAATGAAAATTCATTTATTAAGCAATGACTATGTGCCAGGCACTGTGCTAATCTATGGGGATGTAACTAAAAAGGAAAGACAGACCATATTCTCAAGGAGGAAAGATAATTACCACCTTTTTTCTTTCTTTTCTTTTCTCTTTTTTCTTTTCTTTCTCTGACTTTGACTGAATGATCTCATCTGAAGACCACCTTGAGGTTGACATCATCATTCTTGTGTGAACAAAGAACTGCCCTCACATCAGAGATGACTCCCTTATTACTGGACATACTTAGCATCCTCCTCCCAGTATTATTCTCTCCTCCTCCTCCTCCTCCTCCTCCCTCTACAATGAACCCATTCTTTCAATTCTTCTTCTTCTTCTGAAAGGAACACTCTATGCTTCCTGATAACCTGGAGGACGGAGATGCATTGCTCCAGGCTTTTTGCCTTTTCTTCTAGAAGGGACACCAGCTCATACTTTAACCATCAAAGGACAGTTCGGAGAGAGATGGCCGAGTACTGAAAAGAGCTGGGCTTGAAGGCAGGAGAATTCTGACACTTGCTTTGTGACCCTGAGCAGGTCTCTTACCCAAGTGTCTTCATCTATATAATGATGGCCTTCAAGGTCCCGACTTCTGGTTCAAAAATCTGTGGTCCTACATGAGAATTGGGCTCAGCACCATGGACAAGTCTCTACCGCCCCAATTTTCCAGGCAATATTAGGGATACCTATCTCACAAGCTTCTTGCATCACTGGAATCTAGACTCAGAGCTGGAAAGGACCTTGGAGGTTACTGAGTCCAACCCGTTCATTTTACAGAGGGGTAAACTGATGTCCTGAGAAGGGCAGTGATTCACCCAAGGTCACAAAGGTCATAACAGGATCAAATGAGGAAATGTCTGTAAAGTACCAATGCCATAGGATGTGGGTGAATGCTCTTCCCCCTCCCCCCAGATTATCTCTACTCATTCCTTCAGTAGCCATTGATCTGAAGCAGGCTGGTGGTGAGTTGGGCCCGGAGTCAGGAAGACCTGAGTTCAAATCTTCCCTCAGACTAGCTGCATGACCCTGGTGGAGTCATTTAACTTCTGTCTGCCTCAATTTCCTAACTGGAAAAGAGTGATAATAATTGAACCCATCTTCCAGGGTTTCATAAGGAATCAAATTTGATATATTTACAAAACACATTGTAAAGCACTTAGCACAGTGCCTGGCACAAAGTAGATGCTTTATAAATATTTGTTTCTTTCTTTCCTCTTCCGTATGTGTAATCTCATTTCTGTTTATCTGTGAACAGTCAGTTCTCTCAGGAGCAGAGAGAAGGCAGGGATGGTTATTGTCTCTTTTCCCTTGACCCTCATATGTAGTAAGCGCTTAGTAAATATCTGAGAGGCAGCCAAGTGAGTAATGAATAGAAGGTCTGGTTTGGAGGCAGGTTTATGTCCCGCCTGTGACCCTGGCCCATAACTGCCTTGACCAGCTCTTCAAGACTACAGGGTACAAAGACAGAATAACCCATTGGCATGACACTTTAAAGTTTGCAGATGTAAATGATTTCATTCACTCTCTCAACCACCCTACCTGGAACACCCACCATTCTAATTCGATTGATTGCTTTGTAGATAAGAAAACAGAGGCTTCCTGAGCCTAAGGAAGTGCCCAAGGTCACCCAGCTAACCAATCAACTGACAATCATTCCTGAAGGGTCTAAGTGCTAGAATATATAAACTGGGAATATAACCTAGGAGAATCTAATCCCTGTGAGAGGCTGCATTTGAGCCCTTTTCTAAGTAGGAGGCCCGTGAGCTATGACCTATACCACTGAGCCATGGGTGCTGGTAACTTGCATCATTGAAGGAAGTGTTCCACCCAGAGAGTTCCCCACAGTAACGAATTGACTGGGACGCTCCCCCCCCAACCCCAATAAAACAGCAACAAAAGCGAAGGGTTGTAAATAATAGTATATAGTATATAATAGTGGACATTCCAAAACCGTCTTAATGACATTTTAAGCTTTAAGCGGAGCACTCTATATAAAACACAGCCCAGACCCAGCCCTCAAGGAGCTAATATTCTATTATTTTTATTCCTGATCCCATGAAAAGCAGCAGCCTGGAGCAGGAGTCCCAGGCACTTCTGGGCTCTGTGCAAAAGTCACTTCGCCTCTGCCAGCCTGTTTCCTCATCTGTTAAGTGGGGATAAGAATAGTGCCTCCTTCCGAGTCGTTGTGAGGATCAAACGAGATCCTAGTTATAGAGCGCTTAGCACACAGTGCCTGGCACACACTAGGTGCTACATAAACATCAGCGCTATTAGTATTATTTTTACTTGATTATTTTTCCAGGAAACTCTTGAGACTCTACGGTGCGGAGGAGGTGTCCTAACCCCGGCTGGCTGGGTCACCGTCGGGGCGGGCACCAGCCAAGCAGCATTCGTTACGCTCCTACTATGTGCCTAGCTCAAGGTCAGTCCCGGTTCCCCGTGCACACTCCGAGATGCAGGGCTTTTCCTCCCCTGGGAGCTCTAACAGCTCCAACCCAGGTGGCAGCAGGCGCAGGAGGGGGAGGAGGGGGAGGAGGGGGAGGAGGGAGAGGAGGGAGAGGGCTGGCCACCCCCGGGTCCCACGTGGCCGCCCGCGCTCCCGGAGCCAGACGGGGCCACGCGGAGCGCTGGCGAGGGTGGGAGGGAGGCGGGGCTCGCGGGGGCGCGGATGGAGCGCGAGCCCGGCAGGGGGCAGCAGAG